GTTTCTCATTAGTGTTTTGACATGTCATCTGGGGGCACGGCAGTGCCCCCACCAAGTCGAGCAAAAAAGCGGCACGGCCGTACCATCCTTTTCTCGAAGCAATTCAGTCCATTTTCGACTGCCTGTAACTTCGTTGTGGATAAAACTAGAAGGCTGAATTTTCATTAGCTATGCAGGCATTGTAAAGACACGGTATATTTAAAATTTCATTCAATTTGAACCAGTAGTTTAAGAATTATAACGGGTCAAAGTTACTTAATTTTGTCACTCACTGACTCACTGACTCACTGACTGACTCACCGATCATCAAAATTCTAAGGCACTTCTAGCAGACCTAGAAGCTTCAAATTTGGAATATAAGTAGTGTTTGGTGTATGAATCAAGGAAAAACTAAAATATTTGGGGGCACGGTAGTGCAACCGCCAAGTCGAGTAAAATTTTTCAATTTCGGTCCAGTTTTCTAGATACATAACTGCTGTCTACAAAATACAAAAAGAAATGAGATCCCATCAAAAACAATACTTGTCAAAAAAACCAAGTCTCGCAACTCAGTTGTTCTACGGTAAAAAGTTGTGAGATCCATGTAATACCAAGTCCAGGCCAGGAAATCTTTAACGTTTTACATAAATATATTGACTTGGCCATCGCATGAAAACACGTGTAAATTAAATTATTTAGTGCGATGGCCAAGTCAATAATTTATGTAAAACGTTAAATATTTCCTGGCCTGGACTTGGTATTACATGGATCTCACAACTTTTTACCGTAGAACAACTGAGTTGCGAGACTTGGTTTTTTTGACAAGTATTGTTTTTGATGGGATACAGTTTTCCTTAATATTATTTTCTGCAAAATAAAGCGCAATAATGATTGGGCTTAATGCGTATGCGAATCAATGATACCAAATTCTGCCTTATTAGTTTCTCATTAGTGTTTTGACATGTTTCATACAGTTTTCCTTATTATTATTTTCTGCAAAATAAAGCGCAATAATGATTGGGCTTAATGCGTATGCGAATCAATGATACCAAATTTTACAGAAAAGAATAGGTAATAAGGAAAAACATGCAATTGGTAAGATTACAACAACTTTTAATTTTTACTTATACATGGTGTAAAAATGAGCTACATTTTGCAAGGCTTAAGAGCTTCAAACTGTGATACTAAACAACTTGTTTAAAAAAACGTGGGTCGAAATATGAAAAATATTTGGACCTCCCATACAAAGTTCATGATAGTTTTTATATTTTGACCTTGTCTCTTTGACAAAGTCAGCAGACAACGGCAAGTAGTTGAAATATAGCGACTGCGTGCGGTTGTTGTGTTGCAGTCCGTGTGATGTCAGCGGTCAGCCTAACATCTTTTGAGATGTCTTTGGATCTAAACAATTAGCTGAAGAAACTCACTTTAGCTAATGCACTGTTTCAGAAAAACTACTTATCTATTTGTGCGCGACTTTTATCAACATTTGCGGTAACATTATTGTAATCGATAGTATCGTAAGTTTTGATGTCGTTTAAAACGGAATAAGGTAAAACAAAGACTGAAAATATTGCCGGCAGCTGACAAAAAATGTCAGCGCGCTTTTTACATTCCTCATGTTGTAAAGGGGTCAATAAAATATTAGTAGAGTTTTCACATTCCTAGGAGTTCATAAGACATGCGTGTTACTGGTGTTACTCCATTGCGATGCCTAGGCTGCGGTTGCGCAAGGCCTGTTCCCTAGGCAATGCGACATCACCATCCGCCCGCGCGCCTGATTGCCATTGTATCCTGCGCTTGGGCATCGGTCACACTGGGTCACTTATTGTTATCACAAACGTCATATTTATTTTCATTCCAGTGGGTATTTAACTAGGCTACTGATAACTCAATAAGTATGACATCGAGGAAGCTCTAGGCTTGCTGGTAAGTGATGATCGGGCCGAAGATGGAAGCGAGCTTCACCCGGAATCCTCAAACACATAGGAGTTGGCAGACTTACCTCTAACTGCCGGAACACAACAATGCTAACATTTTCCATTGATTTTAACTTTTACTCATCAGTCCTGTTTTGGACTATAGCAAAATAAACTTTTGTCGTCCAAAAAGCACTCTCTGCGAAAACTTTAAGTCTGAGTAAGCTTAAAGCTTGCGTAGTTTTCAAATAACATCTGTTTTCTTCGGGTTTACAAGAAAAAATCTTATCATCATATTCTACCAAAGATCCATCATCTTGCTTATAGGTTTGCATGTTTACTTTTTGAACCGGTAAAATATAGATGCAAGGAATATCAACCTGATGTATCCAAGTAACCATTCTTTAAATAAGGATCTTGACAGACAGATAGAAAAAGCATTTGCATGGACACTAGACTTCCTAGAGGATAATGGTTCGAAATACGGAACCCTAAAAAGAGTGTTTATCCCCGAAATTGTTATCCATGTGTATCCTCGCTTATACAGCTCCGAGGCAATTGGTAGAACGCAGGACTTCCTGCAATCTGCGGCGCGCGGGCTTCCCGTGTTACTGGGCCTCGGCTAGATAAATCTTGGCTTTATTATAGGAATAGGAATTATCTTGGCATTATTATGGAATGCCAAGATTCTGTGACTGACGGGTTCCGCTGATAAGCTGGACACACTTCCTGAAACCTACTTTCAGATCTCATCAGATCAGACCGAAGGAAGTTATGAGTTAAAAGCACTTTCGAGTAGGTTTCAAATGGTACCTATGGTTCTTGTTGGAGTTAGTTTTTTTGAAAGATTCATAAAAGCTGCATTTTTTAAGCATACCTAAGCTAAAAAAGTTGACCAATCTTAGATAGATTAAGTACGTAGGTAATTTAAAAGAGCAGTGCATGAGCAAAGCAATTACGAAAGTTCTGCACAATACAAACCTATGCTAAAGAAAATGATATTTTTAACTGATGTTTTTTATGACAATCATAATTTATAAACCTATCTTATTATACAAATCCATACAGGCAAAGCCGCGGGCAGAAGCAAATGATTATCCTAGTAAAAGACATTGGACTATATGAATAAGTACCGAACAATTTTCTCGCTTAGTAACTACTCGTACTTCCTTACGATTATTACCTACTTCAGTTCCAGTCTAAGAACATTTGTTATTGCTCCATAAAACTAAAGCACTGATGTATATTAATAGCTGCATTTTACGAGTTGAAGTGTAAAATCGGCGTAGGATATAAATAAGTTTATTACTTGATATTTGGTAACTTTCATCATTTTTAATATTCTCCCCTTCTTTTCTGACTTGGATGCCTACTGCTAACAAATTGTCATGTCAATGCTAAGATTAAAAGAAAAATGTTACGAAACTCTGTAAATAAAAACTTTTACGTGTATAAGTAATCAACTAAAAACTGAGACTGAATTTTAGGGATAAAATCTATATAGGTATACAGGGTGGAAACGATAAGTGATCTCATTCGATTATTTCTAAACTATACAAGATATCGAAAAACTGATTACTGATCCTGAAAGTGCTTCACGAGCTCTTTCAAACGATATCAGTAATAGGTTACAGAATTAACTGGATCTAACCGAAAATTCAATGTTTGCAGCCTCCATACTAAATGTATGCCACTAATGCCAGCCAAACAATATTAGAATTGTTTTTTTTTAATCATAAACACTTAAAATTAACTCGTAAATTGCATTCTTATTTAAAACAATTCATGGAAAACATTGGTTTTAGGCTTTACTTGCTATAATATTATCAAGACATGAGTGCCATGACTGTGGCAGTAGTAAATGTATGGAAGCTGGAAACATCGAATTTCCGGATAGATTCAGTTTATTTTATAACTTAATATTGGTACCGTTGGATAGAGCTCGTGAAGCACTTTTAGGATCAGTAACCAGTTTTTGGATATCTTGTTTAGTTTTTAATATTATGTGGTTTTACTAAATGTATGGAGGCTGGAAACATTGAATTTTCAGATAGATCCAATTTATTTTGTAACCTATTATTGATACCGTTGGATAGAACTCGTGAAGCACTTTCAGGATCAGTAACCAGTTTTTGGATATCTTGTATAGTTTAGAAATAATCGAGTGAGATCACTTATCGTTTCCACCCTGTATAAAAGAAAGTCGTGTTAGTTACTTCGCTTATAACTCAAGAACGGCTGAACCGATTTAGCTGAAAATTGTCAGGGAGGTAGTTTAGAGCCAGGAGAAGGACATAGGATACTTTTTATCCCGTTCGAAATTAAAAAAAAAAGTCTGCTTATTTATTGCCATTAAGGCGGAACAAAGTTCGCCGGGTCAGCTAGTTAACAATATAATTCAAAAAAGTTCTGCTTAAAATGATTTATTGGATAATCATTTCAATTGCTTACCTATTTCGTGTTCCTCGGCCTTGCATCTATTTTGAGCTGCTCTTCATTAGTTTTGATTTGACCTAGGCTATCATCATCAGTCCAACCTCGAGTCTTGTGCTGTTCAGATCTTTCAGTTTAGCATTTATTGTATCTTTATTGATGACATCGTTATCATCAGCAAGCATGGTAAAGATTTGTCATTTTGTCAATTTCTTGTCTTCGGCGACAAAATTATTTTAAATAGTCATACATGTAACCTAAACAGGGCCTCTAATTTTCCAGGGCTAATTGAATTTCGGGAAGAGAGGGCCCTTTTTGACCTTTATTATTCTACAAATCGACAACAACCAGACATAAGAACATACCAGTACCTACCTGAGCAGGATACATATCCTACATTTTCTGTACCAGATCGGTTCCTTCGAGTCCACGCCGTGACACATTTGAGACTCCACTTAAACTTTATTAATGCTTCCTTTCCCGATCTCAGCTACCTTTCTACAGAGTCTTACAACCGAATGAATCCAGTTTCTCCCTTTGTGGTATGCAACTGATTCACAAAGGAGCATTGAGTTATAAGCTCATGTTAGGTCATACAATAAGCAGTCAACTGTGTATATTAGCAGAGGCGCAACGAAACGAATTTTAAAACATAAAAAGTACAAAAAATACAGTTTTTAATAAATATTTTTAACTAAATTTGTGCGTAATAGTGAGCGCAGAACGCCTGAGAATTAACTCAGCTATTTTGTGAGGTACTTAAAAATATTGCCGTTCCAAAGCGCTAGGAGTTTGATATGGCTGTGAAAAATACGAATTACGCTGTGCTATCAGTTTTGTTGCCAGCATTGTTTTCAACGTGTAAGTACTTTAATCTTTCTCAACTTAAAATTGCCCGTTCAGTAAACATATTCCTCTTGTTACCTAAGTTCTACTTTCTTACTCTAGGCATTTAAGTGAGCGCCTGTAGGTTAAAATGCATTCGAATCACTTATTTAACTAAAGGCTATGGAGTCATGAATTCAAAAGGCTTTTCAGATACTCTCTAAAATCCTAACCTATGAATAACCGTTTTACTAGGGGAAATGTTTTAAGCATTCCTGCTGCAGGTTATGTCTCTCCTTGGCGATTAGGAATTAGCACCTTGTGCATTGCAATGATGTCCATTAAAGGGAGGCCTTAGGCCTCTTTTGACAGGATAGTAAAGGATCGCACTGTTTGCATGCATTTATTTCATCCAGAGCCTACTCCTTTTAAAGTTTTGCAATATCCTAAAAGGTCCACAAGGTGGACCGACGAACTTATAAAGGCAGCGGGAAGGCGCTGGATGCAGGCCGCCACCGCCACAGGCCTACGTATGTTCAGCAGTGGACGTCCTATGGCTGAAATGATGATGATGAATATCCTAATACCTATTTTCCTAATCCTTAATATTCACAAACTTGTAATCTTCTAAACCAAGGTTCGGCCATCAAGTGCTTCGAGTGCAACAGCGCGAACAACTCAGCCTGTCTCGAGATGCACAACCCTCGGATGCAGGCCATCGTGCCGGTGGTGGACTGCAGCCAGTCCGTCCCCAACGCCATCAGCAAGGAATTCTTCTGCAGGAAGATCACCCAGACCAGTAAGCATACTTAGTTTCAATAAATAAATAAGACGTGTTTAAAAAGAGTCATTGGTTAAAATCTACAGGGCTGGACAAACTACTGTTTTTGACGTTCGTAAATATTCATACGGGGGAAGCCGTAAAATGCCATCTATCAATATGATACCTATCTAACGGGTGTAAACGAGGTCTACGCGTACGATGTCGCGGGCGGCCGCTAGTACCAAATAAAAATGCAATTAAGACTAGTCAAAATAGTCACGATACCAGCAAAGACTTCTTCTGCTTCTTATAGCGTAGACCAGTGAGACAATACCCACGTGGAATCAGTCACTTCAGTCAGAAGTCAAACTCTTTTGATGAATGCTCTTGGTTACTCTACAAGCACATGTGTAAACTTATTATGGCTTTTGTTTTAAATGAATTATGATTGTTGGCTTAAAATAATTTCGCCCACGAGAACGTGCAAGAATGCAACGTTATAAATAGCTGAAGCTGATTTTCTAATGGGATATCAGCTCTGATTACCACAGGAGGCATACGAGGAAAGCTATCAAGCCTTGTTTGTTCTCTTAGTTAGTTTAATTTTCTTCATATTTGACTACGAATGGTTTCTGAAAGAAACGAGCTCGCCTCACATCTATTGTGATTAAGTATAGTCCACACGATAAAAGAAGATCAACATCCAGTCAATGCATAGGCATTAGGACTGTTATATAACAGTCCTCGTTTTCCCTTTCTGCTAATAGGCATAATGACTCATTTCCACAAGCTTTAGGTACATGTTGCTACTATAAGCCTAAATACACTACAATTTCCAAACGTACTACGATAGAATCATAATACCTCCGGCACAAAGGCCGCACGCTGCTCCATTTCAATGCAGCCTCAATGACTTTTTTTGTCTCATAGTCGGCTAACTGCACGTTGGCCTGGACAAAAACATTGTATGTTCACAAAGGTTATAAAAAAGCCACTGAAATTAGCAGTGCGTGAAAATGCAGCCGTATTCTGGAAATTGCGAATGATTTTGTACTTCCCTTCTGTACCTACTTAATTACTTAAACATTTTCTTAGTGCTATCTTTCATTATATAAAATTTACATTATTTGGTGTCCTTCGTTCGTTCGTTCGTTTCAGCCGAAAGACGTCCACTGCTGGACAAAGGCCTCCCCCAAGGATTTCCACAAAGACCGGTCCTGCGCCGCTCGCATCCAGGTACCTCCCGCGACCTTCACCAGATCGTCGGTCCACCTAGTGGGAGGCCTGCCCACGCTACGTCTTCCGGCTCGTGGTCGCCACTCAAGAACTTTCCTGCCCCAGCGGCCATCAGCTCTTCGAGCTAGTTTGGTTTGGTGTCCTACAACAGTTTAAAAAAATTACCAACTGTAGAACAACACGTTTTGTTTGCAAATGGCATTATTGAGGACATGTCATGTAGTTCAGTCACTCACCACCACCCCCAATCTTCTTGTGCATCACGTAAGAGGCGACTAAGGAAGAATGCTTAGGCTAGATGCTAGAATGATCAGGCCTCCCCAACTCGTCTGATCAGCGTAGGCAGTCTGACATACTCCATTTCCCTCTGATAATTTGAAAATTAAATGCCCTGATGATAAAGTCTTCTTTTCCAGTTCTCCACATAGACAAGACCCCTGAAGTCCGAGTGACCCGCACCTGTGGTTGGGTCAAGCACAAACGGGAGTGCTACAAGGCTGACAACAGTGACCACCTGGAAACCGTGTGCCAGTGCTTTGGAGACATGTGCAACGCGGCCGCCATGTTGGATTACGTCAAAGTGACAGTTCTTGGCGCCCTCACCGCCATCTTGGTTTGCTACCAAAATTGGCGGGGAAAAGTTTGAAACTTTTTTGACAATGGACTATTTTATGATTTCAAAAACTTCTTAAACTTACAATACTTATTATTTACAAATTACAAAGTAAGTACAAGTACCTACCTAACGCAGTATGTTCCTAAGAATTTTCGGGTTTCAACCAAAGATCAATAATGAGATTGAGATACTTATTTACAAATTACATTATTTTGTTAATTAATCGTAACATTGTACAAATTAGAAAATATAGTATGTCGCCAACAATAAACATGTGATAATAATAATTGAAAAAGTAATAAAATATCACTACCTAACTTGTTTTCTTTATTTTACGATATTATTCTAGGGAAGCTATCAATAAATTTAGGTTAAAGTTCAAAAACTTAGTAGGGTAATTGCGCCGGTTTTCCGTCCAGCTCCTGTTTTCGTCCATTTGACCGACTTGCCACAAACAAATACGGAAAATTAGAATACAAACCTAACTTTCCGTGCAAGTTTGGACTTGTTACAATCTATAATATCTAAGTAACGGATTACTAATGTTTGGCCAAAAAACGTTTCCCAAATTATCACATCGCAAACAACGTTTCGCAAATTTTCATTTGGCAAATTCTCATTTGGCAAAACAACTTATAGCAAACTTTTAATTCGCAAATGCCGTTTTTGGCATATTATTGTTTAGCAAATTATTGTTTGGCAAAGTATGTTTTGGCAAACATTTCATTTGGCAAAAATATTTCACGATACACTATTTACAAAATAATTTGATTGGTGCGTAGAATGGAATACAAATTAACTTGTGGTTATTATTGTGTTTAGTGGGTAGTTAATATAAAATTTGTTTTAAATTAATTTTAATATTTCATTCTTTTTATCGAAATTTCCAAATGATTTATTAACAATAGAGGTGATTCTAGCGCTCGGCGGCCGCTACCGCGGCACGCTTCGCTCGCCTTCGCGCGTTAAGGGTCACTGTTCTAACCTAACCTAACCTACTATTTTATGCAATACCTACTTTCTGCAACCATACTATTTTCTGCAATTTCTTTGTTTTACATAAAATTCTTGTGAAAATCATGATCATCTGCCTTATGGTTTGATTTGTGGGTAACGGTGGGTAAGTAGGTATGTGAAGTGTCAATTTGACCAAAAAAATTATTTGGGATATAATATTTGACAAAATAAAACATTTGCTATATAAACATTTGCCAAGTAAAATTTGGCCAAATGATAATTTGACCAAATGAATTAGTTGCGAAAAGTACAGTTGCTAAAAGTTCATTTGGGAAATGAAACTTTGGCGATAAGTTGTTTGCGAAGTGAAATTTGGCGAAAAGTAATTTGGCCAAACGGAAGGATACCCTAAGTAACAGTTCTGCCTGCATGAAAATGTAATTTGACAAGTAATAACTCCAAAAAAATCTTCGGAAGTTGCTGCCGCACACAGGTGAATGGAAAACGTCGTCAAGTTAGAAAAAAAACGTGCCGGTAGGGAACTTTCATGGTATGTTTAATTACTGTTTTAGCTACTTTACGTAATGTTTTTGGCATGTATGTCTAATTATTAGCATAATAAACACTATTTTAAGGGTTTATTGAAGTTTTTGTATAGAAATCTTAGATAATTAAGTGGACTAATACTAGCATAACAATTTTGCAAGATTTTGGTTTTCGTCCACGTGGACGGAAACCCTGACACCTAGTTAATATTTTTAATAATCATTTTACTTCAATGGACCTACAAAATACAATGTTTTTTCTTCCAATATGATCTTTATTGCTGTTACATTAAACATTTTAGTTTACGTCCACTTTTTAACAGTGATAAACCCATAAAAACCGTTAAAAAGATGTGGACGAAAACAAAAAACAGCTTTAAACGTTGTTGTGTTTTCGTCCATGACGTCATGAGCAAGCACTGGGGTGGACGAAAACCAAAATTAGCTATTCCTGTAGATTAGTTTTCGTCCATTTGTCCTTCGACCTATTGCAATATTTTCCCAAATTTAGGTAAGAAACTTATTTAAATCTTTTTTATATCATTTGAAAGCTAACAAAATTACCTTTCAAATGATATACCACAATCCATAGTTACTGTATTGTAGAATTGGTTTTAAGTTAATAATTCAACTGCACCCTTTTTTCTACACAGTGGTCGAAAACTAGCGTACTCTAGGACGAAAACTGATTTTTTTGGATGAAAACTAGTGAAATCGCCTCTTTTGCATAAAATATTTTTTATAAAAAAAACCCGTGGTATTTACTTATTGTCGTATAATATTAACGTAAAGTAGACTATATAAGGACTAAAATGACATAATGATACATATGAGTAAGGGTATTTTAAGATATTCATTTCGCATCACAAAGTTGGCAACTCCGCTAATTGGACGAAAACTAGCGCACTTACCCTACTTACTTTATCTCACAATTCACACATTCGTAGCAGTACCTACTTTTAAGTAACACTCTGGTGTTCGTAAACAAATAAATCGAAGTTTCATTTAGTATTGTTTGCTAATAGGTTTCAAAAAGTTCGTAGGTTCATATACAATATCAGAATAGGGCCGTACCATTGGTGTTCGACATTAAGTAGTTATACAGTCAGATGAGCTTTACCGATTTCCCTGCACAGTGCGATTATATCGGCCGGTGGTACAGGCCGCTAATTTGTCACATTTAATTCATTAATTACTAAAATAAAGCCTAAAAATGAAATACGCGGTTGTTTTGGTGGTGCTATCAGTGTGCGTTCCTCTGGGTGAGTTATCTTTAAGGTCAGTCGGTATCATTGCCATTAGAAGCGTCTATGTTAATTATTGGATATCATTGCTGACGACTGGATTCAATGTCATTTGTTTCAATGCAATAACAAAACTTTAAGCCAATAAAATTGTACATAATATTTATAACTCAAATTATGGAGTTTCAAATCATCGTTTATTTTTATAACAAACATTTAAGAAACACTTGACTAATGCCTCCTTCTTCAATTAGGGATAAGAAAACTAGAAACCTTTCATATAGATAGCAGGTGACAGTTTCATTTCCTTTTAGTCTACTCATAGTTTGGTTAGGACATTATTGCAGACATAAATCTTTAATAGAACTGAAGGAATCTGAAAATTATTATTTAGTCCAATAGTATTATGCTCTTGAGTTATCTGAGTAGCCCTTCAAGTACCATTGAATCGAGACACAATAGAAATCGGTGTCATGCGACCATTTAGATAATAAACCAGATTGCACTGTTTTTTACCTCACAACCCAGGTCTCTCGATCCGGTGCTACGAGTGCAACAGCGCCAACAACTCGATGTGCCTGGACCCCACCAGCTACGACCAGGAAACCCTCAACAAGTTCATCAAGATGACCAACTGCGCCAGCGGCGTCTTCTCGCCGGATAACCACCAGTTCTTCTGCAGGAAGATCGTGCAGACCAGTAGGTTTTTACTTATTATCCAGCCGACGACCTGATAAAGGTAGCAAGAAGACGCTGGATGCAGGCCGCTACCAACCGTGCGATGTGGAAGTCATTGGGGGAGGCCTATGTTCAGCAGTGGACGTCTTGTGGCTGAAATGATTTTTTTTATCCACAACAAGGAAGCTCTTGGCCTGATGGTAAGTGATGATCAGGCCGAAGGTGGAAGCAAGCTTCACCCGGAATCCTCAACCACGGAGGAACTGGCTATCTTACCTCTAACTGCCGGATGGCGACAGACTTAGGTAAGATGGTGGTAGCTAGCCAGGGGGATTTAGAACAAGCCCTACCACCAACCAGACCGAACAGAAAAATCTGCCCCCACTGGGAATCGAACCCGGGACCTCTGCGTCTGAAGCAAGTGGTCTTACCACTAGACCACAGAGGCGGTTGATGATGATGATGATCCATTTCAGTCAAAGGACGTCTACTACTGGACAAAGGCTTCCACAACGACGAGTACCTACTTCGATGCCCGCATCCAGGTGCTTCCCGCGACCTTCATCAAATGGTCGGCATTATGTATTATGTTTATAATACATTTATATTCGACACAATCCCTCTCTAGAACAAGTAGGTTTTTTTTATGTAAGACCTTTGTTTATTTTTAATCATCGCAAATCATAAAACAACAGTGAACTCAACACAAGTTTTGGGGCCGGCTTCGAATTTCCGGACTACTTTCCTTTCATCATAATTATTTCAGCAATTGGACGTGCACTAATGAATGTAGGAGGCCTGAACATTAATGATCGAGATTTCTCAATGGCTTGACGCTTAATTTAAACCAATTTAGTCACGCTCTCTGTCTTACAGTTAGGGTTGGGGTCTTATAGGTACATCATCATCATTCATCATTTCAGCCATAGGACGTCCACTGCTGAACATAGGCCGCCCCTAATGCTTTCCACGTTGATCGATTGGTCGATGTCGTCAGTCCACCTTGTAGGTGGACGTCATGCGTTTTCCGGTACGCGGCCTCCATTCCAGAACCTTGCTGCCTAGGTACATAGATTAACCTATTAAGAAACCATTACTGAACTAGGTAGTTCTTTCATGTCACTTACACGTCGATCGCGTTGATTGATGGCATGGAAATATGAACTGGAAGTATGGAACTTGAAATAAACATTTTGATAACACAACTTGATAATGAGAATGTCATTCGGTCATTGTCAGATCATGTTTGTAGGTCAAGTTTGTATGTTTAAATGACTTTTACATACAATAACTATGACTTATTTTAATATTTTTATTAATATTTTAGAGAGGTATAAATTAAGGTAGCGTTGTGTCCTTTCTTTAATTTGTTTAAAACCTAAAAGACAAAATTGTTAAAATGAAACGGTACCTACTTAGCATCTATTGGCGCGGAAAGGTCGTGGTGATGGAAGGTTACCTAACCAGATAAATTCGGTTTTACCTGCAGGTAAAATCTAGACTAGTGCAGGTTAAGTCTAGATATTTCGTAACACTCATCTCCGCACCTCTATCAGTTGTAAGAGCTGTTCAGAGCTACGAGTGAGAACTATGATCATAATTATTAGACTACGAGTAAATAGATTTTTGTTGAATAATAGCATCTTATCGTTATATCGATTGCATGGTCTATGAGCGAGCATTGGCATAGTTTAAC